AGTGAAACGTGAAACGCGAAACTGGGCGAAAGTTTCGCCTTGTCGGCGATACCACCGGACGCGCTCCAGCCGTAGAGGGAGGGCGGAACTGTCCGCGAGGGCCTAGAAGGCACGCGAATTCGTGCGGATCTTATTAGATCTAGCCCAGTGAATCCGAGCTGGTCATTCGGATGACGAGTGTCGTGTTGTGTTCTTGCGCTTGGTGTGTTTATATACTATTCGGTCGTCAGTGTTTCCTGGGACCAACTGGTGACTTATAGATCGAGGGAAGGTCAATAGGTGAGAGCTTTGCGTGTTGTTTAAATCTTGAAAGCTTGGGGACCAAGCGTCAACCCTTTGCGGATGGACATTGTGAGTCCAAACAGCGGACGATGTAGGAGTTTTGCTTAGGGGGTTGGGGTCATTATTTTGATTGTGGTTGCTACTGCGATGACAACCTATTAGTGGAATAAAATTTATTTTTGTTCATTTTTGGTACTTAAGTTTCCAAAGTAATTTTGATTCATGGGAAGAATATCTTGATATTTAAAGATGTAGTCATTTGCAAAGGGTTGGTAGATATTTTTTCATGACAATTTAATATTTGATGATCAATGAACTGAATGGACACTGTCAGGATTACAATTAAACGATAAACACGACGATTTTCTGGAATTTCGTAAGTGATCAGAACGAATCATAGTTTCGCGTGATTCATGCCAAGAAAACGTTAATTGAGTAATTACTCGCGTATTCAGTCGTATCTGTTGTAGCGCGCGCAAAGAATAAATCGACCGGACCAAATTATGAAATAATGAAAGTTAATTGCACATACGTGTTCTGTTTACCTTCCACTAGTTTGTTCACGATAATTGTCATTTCTTTGCAAATTATGAAAGTAATCGTTTGATACAATCTCAAGAGTGAATGACTTGCTAGATCAACTGCTGGCACCAGATCCACGATAGTATTACATCGTTTCAACTTTTTCTACAGTGTCAACATTCTAGACTAATTGTATGATATTACCGTTCCTTTACGTAACACTGTTTCATGTTCATTAAGAAATTACAGTTACGATTTGAGCATGGAGCACATATTTTTGACGAGTAATGATGATCCTTATCAATAGAAGATAACATTTGGTAGAAAGTGTACGAGAAATTGAAAAAAAAAAAAAAAAAGTAAAAGCAGGAAAGAAATGGAGCCAGAAAATGTTGTAAATAATTATAATAACAGAAAAAACTTAATTTTCCTTTCTATATTGAATTCTGCATTTTAAAGTCAACGACCTATACCAAATAAGATTTAAAGCAGTTCATGAAAGATATCATTCAAATTTGAATAATAGTCATGTTTAAAACATAGTTATCGAATGTTATCCTTAACCCCTAATTACGAATCGTATAAAGAATCCTGTTAATTTATTCAAATTATGCACATACATTTTACGCCATTCACACTAACTAGAGGTATTTATTAATAAAACATGAGAATACTTAACTAGATCCATAGAAATTAACAGCACGAGATGTTGATTATATTCTATTATCACGTGTCCGCGACGAAACACGTGGATTGCGTTTGACAATTAAAGGTTAAACACTGTACCGTAGAAAACAGCAGTTGTTGCGTCAAACGAGGTGAAACCACGAGATCATAACCACTTTCGTGAAATAATAGAAACGTCTGGTACGTTCGAGCGTGTATGGGATTCTATGAAAAAGCGTACATTCGAAGCGTTGCGACAAATAAACAGAGAATGCTTTGTCGTGGATAAAGTTGTTTCATCTACACTTTAATACACAATCCATATGAAAGTATAAAAACTACTGACGAGGGAACTATTGCTTTTCCTGGTTAAAAAAAAAAAAAAAGGAATTATTTATATCCATTTTCAGAGGTGTTTGTTTATATCAATAAGAGATTAATATACGCTCATGTATTCTTTTAATCTCAAAAAACACCTTTTATATCAATTAGAGTTTGACTCATTAAATGTACCCAAGAAGTTAATTGTGCCCACGTGGTCTCTAGTAGTCGAAAGATTTGGTTAACAGGTTAATCGTCACTTTTTCCAAATCTTACCCAGTTCTATTTCCTAGTTCCGAGTGTGGGAAGTCCTTCAGAACGTGTGCATCCAGTACACATTCTATCGACTTACCCGCCAGCGATCAAGATTAATCGTTTATCCGCTACGACCATTTTTGTCGTTCGCGATCGGCAGTTGGAAGAGAAAAAAACGCGGGCAAGTCGTGAGGGTGACGGTGGGCGTTAATCAGTATCCTTGAAAGATCCTCGAAGCACACGCCTTCCCATTGTCCGGTTGAAAAGGGAGCATGAGGGGTTGGGGTGGTAGGACACACGAAACGTCGTCCTTTCGTGGCGCGCTAGATCCCCAAGCCTGGAAACTGTTACCCCTTTGTTCAGTAGCCGGGACGTGGGGTGCGGTAGGGGCGAGGAATCCTTGATAATAATCCCGGAAAAGAATTCGCTTAAAGCAGCGTATCCGATTCCCCGCCTCTGTTTCCCTCCGTTCGCCCCGTAATCGGATCGCGTCGTCCTCGTAGAAAGCGCCGCGGCGGCAGGTGGCACTGTCCTTGCACTTGGAACGTTGAAATTTATACGGCTTTCATTCCTCCGCTACTTTAAAGTAGGTTTGGTATTTCACTTGTGCCCGTTCCCTCTCTCTTTCCGTGTCGTCCCCACGCTTTTGTCTCTTTCACTCTTCCTAGACTTCTGGATCTACGGGTTCATCAAGGTCAATTCAATGATCCATGGGTAGGTACGCGTGGTAGAGTGTTCATCATTTAAAAGCCGGTTAATTATAACGTTGATCTCGAGAAAGTCTGTTTCGGAACGAAATTGGATATCCAGTTGATGGAGTACGATTTTTGGGCGCTTGTTAGGATTGCTGATGAGAAAAAGAATGATGTAGATTGCTAATGGGAGAAGAGAAATTACATATTGCAAAAATGTTTGTTTACATGAAACTTCTTGTGAAATAATGTAGGATGATAACGCAAGGGTCTGAAACTTTAGGTGCTTATAGTATTCATCGAGAGGCGTAAATATAATATTTAATTGACATAGGTCTTAAGTAAAATGTACTATTATACATATGTAACTAGCTTTCAATATCGTGAGTCTCTTTTGCATCATATTGAATGTAAAAAGGAAAACTGGTTTAGATGTGTATTAATTCAAGGTTGCTGACAACAGGAAATGTAAGATACGGAAGGAATATTTGAAAATGTACGTCGATCTATGATCCGCAGATATGAGTTTCGTATTGAAACGAAAGGAAGACATACATATGTATAGAACATGTCTAACTAAAGTGAAAACAAATTTTTTTTTTCAAGGATTGATTTTAGGAGCTATGTTGATTAGAGATTTTTGACTCTCCTCGGTGAATACTATAAGCACTAAAAGGCATAGGCCCTTTTTTTAATCACCTTGTACATACTGTAAACGTATAACGTACATACATACAATACTTATAATCAATGTTCACTATGGCCATTACCAGGTTTGCTAATAAGCATTTTGTGTATCTTTCGTGAAGTTCTGCAAGACAGTCTATAAGGATAAATAACTGTTCATTGATGAATTGTTAGATCAAGGATAACTGATGAACTCCGACGTTACTTTCAGGAAATGAACTTGCATGAAAGTGTATTATTGAGGATGATCGTGCATATTTCTTAGGTAAACGGATTACAGGATTCATACAGACTTGAATAACTGATACTTGATGCGTAATATGATCATAAGTTATGATTCATAACATTTCTATGATTCTTTCATTATGGATAATTATAAAGTAGAATTTTCCACCTGCTCTATAATTTCATATTACATTGTTTCAACAACGTAAAATTGTTGAATCAATTTTGATATCGTCACCACGAGTCTGACTCGATGTTACAAGGCAAGGGGTTAAGGCCTGGAAATGTCTATTTATCGTTTTTCATTTTTCTTGTAAAGTGAAATTCTGTCTAATTCTCTTCTCGTGTATTTCATGCAAATTGTTCGCGACAGCGTGCATCATTATGAAAACGGCAATTAAAATACAGGAATCGAAACACGTGGCAGAAATTGAGTGACAGTCGTGATAAACAAAAAATCGGATTCTTTTCGAAAACGGTCGGTGTTTTTGCAGAGGTTCTCTATCTATCCAAGAAGTTTTACGGAGAACATGTCAGATTGATTGACAACCGCGTCTCGCGTAACGCCAATTTGTTCGAGTTACGGTCACTGGCACCGTCGAAAGTGAAATCGTGGTGTGCAAAAAACGTCGACACAGATTTTGGTGATAATATGTCCTCGGTTTCTTAGCATTCCTCTTGCGCAGATTTGTAACTTTTGCAACAGCTTTGAATTCAATTAGAAAAAAAACTAACACAATACTGTTCTCAATCGATCAATTCTCACATAGTATAGATACTTTGTGTTTATATCTTTATTACTGTAGACAATTTTTCTGTGATCCTTGTTTTATAATTTTATTGTCAAATGATCGATTTCACGTATACATACCTATTGTATGTTTACATCTTTAGTACCCCAGACAATTCTTTCTGTGATCCTACTTTTCACACGATCCGGCCGCGGACGTGAATGTATTGCGACCGCGGGTGCCCTCTCGTGCTTTTTCTTTAACTTGAAATTAATTGCACACGGCGAACGCAGCCTCTCCGTGGCTTCCCTCTCAATGCGAACATACTGTTACGGGACGCAGAAGAGCCTCGTTACTTCGTGATCGCGGGTCTAATTGCGCCGTGAAACGCCTTCGCGCGTCCACGTAAACCTATGGAGAGGCCACGACATCTTGTCCGTGGCATCCACGGATACCGTGATCGAACCGCGTGCACTTGGTTGCACGTTGCAGTCCGCGAGGATGCAACGTCACGGTGCAACATCCCCGAGGTTCCGTCGGTCGACCGTGATTCATCGTGAATAATTTCAGACATGTACGAGGGTAAGCTGTGACCTGGGACGAATAAGTGGTACCGAACATGGCGCGATCTAGGAGGACCCCTTACGTGGATTCACCGTGGATCCACTATCTTGCCGTGGCTAGCTTTCTGGTGCTCTTCGCTGGAATCGACCATGTGACAGGTATGTGTCTTCAGCGAGGTTTGGTGGAAGGTTATAATTCGATGGTGGGAATGTTTATAAGCAGATCGCGGATTTTTATGGAAAATGGAGTTTTACAATGTAATTTATAAGGAGAAGAATAAGGGTACGACTTTCCTCGGCACCGTAACATATTTGCGACTGGTAACGTATAACTACGTCATTTAAAACTTTTTTAGCTGAATACCGGTAATGTAATTCTACGTCATTTCAAATTTTTTAGCTGAATACCGTTATTTAGTTATATATTTTACATTATTAATAAATACCACACAAAATTATTATGGAAAATAAATCTGTAAAAGTGTTATTGAGCTTCAAGTTGCTGTAAATTAATTACATTCGCTTCCAAAAAATATATTTGATACATTTAAGAAGCTGGATCAGTTTTAATATTGGCTCTAATTTTTCATAAATTCTTTCAACACGCGTTTGTAATATTTAATTTTCTTTAACTTTAAGCAACAAATGATTATAAGCATCGTATTGAGAAGTAATTTTTTTTAGATTCACACACATGTAAATAGCAGACTCTCGCAAACTCACGAAAAACAACAGTACAAAGCACATTTTTCTGTAACTTCTTGTACATTTCGAACATTTTTCTGGCTATGAATTATTAAAGCGGAAGGAAATGCTTGGAACTCGCCGACTGTTCCTGTTTATACCGATAAAAAAAAAGTAACTCGGAGTTTTACGCCAGCCATAATGAGAGGAAATACAAGGAAAGTAATGGCAATGTTTCGACTTGCGTTTCTTTCCTCTTTACTTTACCTAAGGTAAACACACACCTTTAGATAAATCTATTCGCGACCTACTATCGCGTACGGACACACTGGGAAACTGTGCTGCCCACGAAAGATGGACCCCATTCATTCCCATCGTTACCATTTCAGATCGTGAGATCGAGGCCTCGTATGTATTCAAACTGTAATTTGTACGTTGTTAATGAATCTTTTTTCGCTCGTTCAGACACAAATTAATTAATTAATCTCCACAATACCAAGCCTCTTGTTATTACATGAACTATCAGGAACGGATGACGGGTATTTTATGCCCACCTAATAAAAACCTATAATGTTTTGCATACATTTTAAGTTTTGGAAATATTTGGGAATAAAGGGTTTAACCCTCCGTTGTCACACTGGGTCAAATGAACCCAAAATTTAAGTTTCTAGTCAAATATCCTTGCGGCATTATTGAAAATAGTACTATTAGCTGTATGTAGTAGTAATTCCAGATACCCTAAAAAAGGAAATTAAAGGAAATTACGCGAGTCTTCATATGGATCATGCAAAGTGAATAATTTATTTCCTTGTCCCATTCGGTTTTAAGCCTTCATTTACTACTCTACATATATTAGAAAGATTATTCACGGTTAAAGTATTCATTTATTTAAATTAATTCCGAACTAAATTCCAAATACAATTTTCATCTTCAATTAGTCAATATATATCCACTGAACTGTATTTAAACTCGTTCATGTGAAATAACGCGATGTATCGGGGTCGAGGAGAGGATCTTTGATCGCGAGCAGCAAGGTGTATTTAGCCTCGTGCTGCGCCGCCCGGGGAATCTCGAGGATCCTTTTTCATCCTCGTGTATTAACGAGGACATTCTTGAAGGGACGGAAAGACAAGAAGGGCTGGAATGAGGGCGACAATGCACTGTCACCATGAACCGAGCGAAGCTACTTAAACGCGTGTATACCCGCTGCACAAGTTTCAGACCAGTTTTCAACGCACTGGGGATGAATTGTTCCACGAAACTTCCACTATAGCTTGGCGGCGCATTAATGATCGCGCGATGTTGGCGAAGTTTGTAAACTGTATTTTCTTTCGACAGACCAAGAGAATGGAGCTGGTGCTGTTAAATTTGAGAATAAGTAGTGAATCACTTGAATTGCTATATAAATACATAAAGGGTTTCAGACCTGGCTACTTCTGAAATGATATTATTTGAAATATTATTTCAGAATAACATGTTATATTATTTTCTAATCATTTCAAATAATTCTACGAAATAATTGTGAAATTATTTTTCGAAATTATAACAGGCGGCTAGTATTTTGACAGTATTTTGGAAAATATTTGATAAGTAATTTTTTGTAACTGCTGATATTCACATCTAGGGGGTGAAAACAACCCTTAAAGTCGTGGATAAAAAATACATTTTGACATAGAAAAAACTATTTGACATAGAAAGCATATTTGTTAACAAAAGACACTCTATAACAGACGCAAAAACCTTTTCTTTCGTTCGTTTGGTAGTTCATTAATTTTCAACTATTCCATACAACATTTCTTTACGAAGATTCCAGAAAAATTAAACTTACTACAGAGCTTGAAAAAACAAATATCCCATAATTCTTATTATTTCTTAACAAAAACAACTGTAATTGGGTCACTTACGCTAGTTGAGTGCAGATGATAGACCCAGTAAGAGATCAATGGAAACGAAAACAATCGAGGCAAATTTTTCAGAAGGGCCTCTAAATGAAAAATAAATAAGAGATCGTTTAATTTTTCATTCGATTACATACACAAAGCTGCCATTCCCACTTGCAGAACACCGAAAGTTTATATGGCCCTAAAGAATGTCGAAGTGCCGTTCCATGGTCAGGTGAAAGGCAATAATGGCAGTCGTTCTTTTTATTTTCACGCCGAACTCCGGAGTCTAATGGGAAAGGGTGTCTCTGACTTATGGCCAGTGATGTATGGATATGTCCGGCGATACGCTTGTGTCCCGCGACACGTTGCTCCGTCGAACTGATGGAAAGCGCGCGGAAACGTGCGAAAAGCGCCGGGTCCGACCTTGTCCCACTTCCGTCGAAGCTTTGGGGGAACGAGCTTACTTGTGTAAACGCCACACACAACACATGTAGCGGCCGATGGCGCGTAGTCGGGCCGTTTCGTTATGTAATCGGTTTCGTTATATACACTGGGTGTTTCGGAATCGCGAGCGACCCTGAGTGGCAGGCTGTTTCGATTTCCAATGCGATCAGAAAGCAGGGAAGCTGGCTCACTCGATTGTGGATCAGTGGCTAGGGAACTTAAAGGGTGACAGAGGAATAAGAATTAACTCTGATTGTAGCGTTCATCGATTTTTATGTGCACTATTGCTCAGAAGTTTTTTTTATTTATTTTCCTTTGACCTCTTAGACTCTTTTATGCTGAGAAGGGATGTTTGCGAATTCATACGCGTCGATTTTTCTGTAACTTTGCTCAATTTTTTATAGGACCCACCTAAAAATGTTGTACTTGGTTGGTGGTACTTTTAAATTTTAAGGAGGTTCACAGTCTTTCTATCCGAAATGTTCTTTGTACTTATTTGTTTGTAACTTGAGACTAGAGATCTAGTATTTTATAGATCGATAGCCCTATCATGTAAATTCAAACGAAACAACTTTCAATGACCGATCACCAGCCATACGTGTTGGTTTATAATCAAAATATTAACTACTGCAATCCGTTTTAATTACAAGGTTGATGGAAGATAAATGGCCGACCGCCCTTCATATCTGAGAACTATCAAGGATTTGAAAACCCGATACATATGCTTGATTGATTGAAGTTAAATTGTTTATATCGATTGATCATCTTCCTTGTCCGCGTAAAGTTCCATTTTCTGGATTACCCTATTAGAATTTATTCTGACAAGAGAAAATATATATGTATACTTTACACATTATTAAAATTTAGCAACATCCAGCAAAAAAAATTAAAATAATTCTCTCATATTGTAATATCATTTAAATACCTTTCTATTCATATGGTATTCACAAAGGAGGCTAAGACCTTCCATCATATAGACTCGAACGACAAAATTCTTCATGGTTAAAAGATAAAAGTTTTTCAACCCTACCGCAGCCCTTAATATTTTTTCAAAACTATATAAATCTTTACCGAAAATTCTAAAAAGGCTGTATGCAAAGTAAACTGACAATGCGGTATTCACAGACATACATACACATACAAATCAGTTGGTATGTCGCGAATCTATTGTCGCATACAACATGTATACATACATACATATAACGTGTTCCGTCGAATATTCGCCTCCGACGTTTCTTTTGGCCGTCTGGAAAAAGTAATTCTCTTCGAATCGAGTCGAGCGAGCAAAAACAGCAGGACGGCACGTGGGAGAAAGAGAAGGACAAACGGACGGAGACAGAATAAAAGAGGGAGGAATAGGAGGGGTAGAAAACGGGACAGAGGGAAAGACGAGATTTGCGAGGGGGATTTCTTTAAAACGACCGCAGTCCTCCTTCTGTCTATTTACGATCCCCAAGAGCACGCCTCTGTAGTGATTTGACAGTTCCTACGGCGGCGAAATTTCCGGCGGATTATGCGCCGTTGGAGCTTTATCCGGATGATCGATGATAAGAATCGAGTCGCCGATTGTTTCCGCTAACAAACGTAAGTTAACTTCCGTCCAGGTTCTCCGGTATACTACGGACGCTTCCGGAGGTACGGAAGTGTTTACGGAGAAATTAACCGATTAAGAAATACTTCTTTGTATTATATTGTTGCATATGACATGATCGTTTTATTACTGGCGCTTGAGATTATATTAAACATTACGGTAAAAGACCCATTTACTGCCACCTACCAAATTACTGTCATCCTACGCTGTTTTACTCAAAATAACAAATATACTTTGTGAAGTTATACATAAAGAAAATTCTGCACGCAATTAAAATTAATTCGCACGATAGAAAAAGCAGCACTTCGTTTCCTTTTTTCAGTAATTTTTGTAAATGGATCTATAAGCCGTGTTTACTGATTTGGGGGGTGTTTCGATTAAAAATAATTAGTGGAAAGAATCGGCAGCAGGATTTCGCGTCGGTCCGCCCTCCCCCACGGTTAATTGGCCGAAACCGTGAAAGCTGTTCTGACAACGTGTCAAATTGGCAATCGAATTCGTCTAGTGTCCAGTTAAATTTTTAATCTGTCATTCTGGGAACGCGGTGTTTGATAATATAGTGTTTCGTCGCGGTCAGTGCATGTCGCGTTAAAAAGGACAACGTTCTCGGTCCGAGCACCGGAGCTTTATGACGGTTACCGATCGGCGATCATAAACTGGAAAAACCTGAAAAAAGGAACTACGTAAACGTCCAACCGATATCTGTTTAGAACTCGGCCGCGTGTACTTTGATGCGTGTCCGACGATTGTTAAATATCGGCTTCGAATCGGCATGCGATCGGGTGAAAGTACCTCTGCGATACTACATATATATTCTGGAAACACCTGTAAACGTTCCGAAACAGGCGGCGCAGGTAATGGTAGCAGCCGAGCTTAGTGAACCTTCACTTTGGGCTGGCTAATGATAATGATTGAGCCACCACCCGACCGGACTCCGAGAGAGATAATGAAAGTGATTTTCATGCCGGAGAAGGTTTTCTTGCTCGATTTTCCGTGGGAGGTATTTTAGTGACGCGTTTGTATTCGTTGAAATTGTACGAAAAGGGGGGAAATTTTGACGAGGATTTTTATGTAAATTCACGATTTTAGACGTTAATTTGTAAACATGGAAATGGGATAGAAATTTATTTCTTTATGTTGATAATAATTTGTAAATATCGTTAAGATTTATTACAGTCTTTCGTTTACTGGAGTTTGTATGTTAAAATTTGTTGTAAATGCATGAACATCGGTAGTCTATTTATTATTGTCGAAAGAAAGAAGAAAACGTTCATTTAAGCCATTGAGGACCAAGCAGTGAAATAATACAATTTTGTACGCGTAATATGTTTGATAGAGTACGAAAAGGGCTCTGCAGTAGTGTCGTGTACCACCCTGTATATCGTGAACTGGATACACCGATGACTACTAAAAAGAAAATGGCCCTGTGAACGTTGCCAAATTGTCACAGCTCTCCCGACAACACGAACAATAAACGCCTCGTACAGCGACAATCGACCGGTTAAGATCATCGAATCGGTTTAAAGTAACCGCGAAGAGCAATTCCACGGCGCGTTGCGCGTTCCTTAGATCGACATGATGATCACGGCCCTGAATAAATTCAGATAAGATCTTTTGCCCGTGACGAGAGACACAAACTTCCGCCAACTTTGGCTCACCTACCGCACACGGACCCCACGGGTATCGTCCCGCGATCTTTTCCCTTTCGCAGTCGGAAACAATGTTTTACGTCTAGATTCTCGCGGGCTAATTAGCTGGTCTGGCCGCCCGCGGACTGGATCCAACGGAACCAACCTGAAATACGAATCCTCTCCGCACTTTGCACGTCGACAGGAATAAAATGGCGCGCTGCTTTTCACCCGTTGAAGTATATTTCTGCGACGACGCCGACGCCGCTTCGTCCTCGTACCTGTTCTTGCCGCCGTTGATGCTCGTACTTGACCGTTTCACGAATGTTAACGGTGTTGTCAGCCTTAATTCGTGCGATATAAACGAGGACGGGGATAATTCCTTGTGCAAAAATCAAGCGAAAAGAAAAACACGGAATTTTCACTACAGGGTGTCCCATATAAGCGTCCCAATGAAATTCTAGGATTTCCTTTGAACTATATAAATATTTTTGTTAAACAAGAGTTGTACTATATTTAACAATTTTTGTTAAACAAGGGTTGAACAATTTTTGTTTACATTTCTGTCAATAGAAATGAGAAACGTATTATTTTGCGGCACCGTCGAACAAAAACGCCACTGGCGATTTTCGAATATTCTCGGACACTTTACGGATACAAATTGCAGGGTTCGCAGTATAAAATGGCGGGTGGCAAGCTGCGGATGCGTTTCACGGCGGATAACTGTCGACCTTTCGAACGCTTCCTGAACGACAAGAAAAACTTGATTACGTTGCCTCGTGTTACGGCACGTTGAACCATTCCAATCCTCGGGGTGGATTAGAAGGGAAAAATCTTGTTATCGAATCGAATGATATTTTTTACGGGGCGACCGCGAAAAATGTTACAGACTCGTTTTCGCTCGTGCTCGACAGTCGTTGACATTTTCAATGAAATATGTGTACGCGTGACTGGATAACACGTGCGACTTAATTGTAGTGTGTAATATTTAATCCTACACACGTAAAATAAATTTCGTAACGCTGACAATAAACGTAGAAATATAAAACTGTATAATGCTTAAAACATTTCTTTTGACAATGCACGAGAGTTACGGCAACGTTAATTTCTAAAACAGTGCCCACAAGAATTTTTACGAAACCAAAATTTCTTCTTCCAATTTTATACAAATTTTTAACCCAATTTTGTCGAATTTCATTAATACATTTAACCACATTTATTGCATTTAATATCCCGTTATAAGCATTATTGAATCCGAAATTAAAAGTTGCTTCGTTCACGAACAAGTAACACGACAATCAACGTATTAAGGAACAGTCTCACGATTTTTAGTCTTCTCCTTCGGCTACAACTTCTTCAATTAAAAGTTTCGTAATTAGTTTCCAAAGAATGATACGTCCTTTACGGTTTTTAACAATAGAAAAATATGTTGCATCGATACCGTGAAAAATACATAGAAAATGTTAAACTCTGTGTGAAGAGGTATATTGCAGCAGTAGAAGTGAATATAATGCAATAGAATTGACAGAAAAAAGTATTCGAAACGAATTTCTTCCGAATGTAATATTAAGATTGATTTTTTGTTTTCTGAATAAAGTCACGGTTTCCTTTTATAAATTGTTGCAGGATGTCAGTTCTATCCTATAGGGGAGTATCTGAAGTTCGTGCGAGTACCAGAGAACTTGGCAAAAGGAACAGAAGTCTTGTCATTAGAGGCTCATCCGAGGAATCATCTTTCGATTATGCCGGTGGATAGGGCAAGTATTCGTTTCTGTTTTTTTTATCTCAATTGTGCTTTCTTGCACTTTCTTTTTTTGTAAGTCTGAACTTAAGTCTAATTTCATTTGTCGTTTGTTAAAGTTCACATAAAGTAATATTATTTCTATATGTAAGTAATATTAGTTTTATACATAAATAATATTAGTACATACATATTTCGTTATAATTCGCTGCAATTAATGTAAATGTAAACTTGAGTGAGAAAAATATGAACAATATCTTTAATAATGTCTTGAATAGATTCATGATAACGTTTATCTCTCAGCTTTTGGCTGACACTACGTGCTGCATGGAATGCAAGAGCATAAATCAGGGTTAGGAAAGAAAGTACTCCAAGCAACGAATGAACGAAACAATTATTATCCTCGAACGTGTGTCGTGTTTACCGTTCAACGAGCACAGACGGATGAACGACAGACGAAATGATTATTCTAAAGCGACATATGTACCGTTGCACATATGACCATAGCATAACCGAGTTGTAACTGCTTGCAGGATGAAGACGCCCGTTTCTTCGCGTACAAACAGACGAACAGGACCCACATCTCCTTGGTACTGGCCCAGTCCCTGGAGGAGCTGGTGGACACGGAATCACCTAGAAACCTGCTCAAGTTCCGCGTGGTCTGCGATTACAGCGATGGCGGTGATTCCCTGGTAAATTGTAGAAAGTATCCATCGCGAGATCGATTTCTTCTTAATGCTTTATCGCACTTCCGTTCTGTCGTGTGCCACTAATATCATTTAATAAACTATTCATTATACACGGTGATTTGAACGGTGATATACTCGCAAGTACGAAAAACTTCACGATACTAATACTGTATTTTGTAATTTATGGTAGGTAGCCAAATGGCTACAGTGGAATCGAAAGGGTTAAGCACCGGTTCCAAATGATCCATTACCAGACGAATCATTTAAAATTTTGAAACTGACGTGTCGTTCCGTTAAAAGTTCCAAAACGGTACCCCACATTTCCCCCAGAGATTTAGTTCGTTTTCCGTAAGCAGCGCCGTAATAACTGGAGCGTGCAGGTACCGGTCGCGATACCGTCAAGCCCACGCTACCGGTTTTCCAGCCCTGGTAACGCGTTAATCAACGTTTATGCAACGTATTTCAAGCAGGTTGCGTGCTCTCGTGTCCGCCGTTGATTTCGAACTGGTGTCGAAAACGAAACTGTTCGATCGGTTTTAATGAAACTGGACTATTACTCAACACTGGAATTATCGAATCCGGCAAAACGATGGATTTCCGATTTCCTGATGTATTATTACTAAAATGATAAAGGCGCTATTGTCGGACTTTATGCTGATTTTCAATATAATAGATTCTATTAAATTGTTGGGAAAGTTCACAGCGTTTTTAAGGGCAGACTTGCAATCTATATTTTTCAATTTATATACTATTCTCATTTAGAATTTTTTTTACAATTTCATTCTATTTTTTAATTAATTTCATTGTACCAATTAAATACAAGTCGGATTGTATCGTTTAATTTTATTATCAATGTTCTTGTTTACAATATTTTCTCAGTTACTATCGAAGAGTCTAGACGTTGTACAAATTGTAAAGAAACTATAAATTATAAATTATAAAAAGTTATGAAATATCAACTGTCACTTTGGGAAAGTTAAGTAATTTATGAAAGATTCATAAAAATTAAATTAAAATAAAATAAAATTTCCGCTGTCAATTTTCAATAAACGATCCCTTCTGTCATTAAACTGTGTGTCACTTGAAAAACAATAAAATACAGTCACCTGTTAGATGTCCTAATAGCAGAACTGGTGGACATATTTGGGTTAAGTCTGGCATTCCGTGCGTTACTGTTACAATAATTACTACACTATTCAACGAAACGGGCATTCTGAAAACGAACTACCGTAAAAAGTATGCGATAAAAGCGGTAAAACCTACGGGGGGTACCGTTGTCACGTTGTCAGGAATTTTTTCACGTCGCGTCGATCGGATAAGACGATTTCACGAGTTAATACAGTCTTGGCAAATAAAATCTGAAGCGATACTGTTATGCGTCCCGTCTCGTCGCGGATATTAAATATCGAAGAAACGGAGAAGAGTAGAACGGACGAGGACTACCGAGAATAGAGGCGTAGACGGGAAGAATATTAAAATCAATCAATAAATGTCAGTTGTTATTTAGTTTAGTATGGTTCATATGTTACAATCTCATACTTTCTCCACGTGGTTTTGTTTCCTTTTCTACTTTCATTTTTGCCGATAAATCAGAGCTCTCTATAAAGAAACTCCACTTGAATAAATTTAAATTACCTAAAAGCAGACGAAAATAATTAATCAGCGGGTGTACTATTGTATTTCTCATATATTGTCCGCGTCCTCCAAATCCTTTTTCCTACTCTTGATTTATTATTTCTCTGGTTACAAGGACAAGGAGTTAGACAAGGAGGAGTACCACAATTTCCACCACTTTAAACAACAAAACAGTTCTTAAATATCCTACACGCGCATAAATACAGAGACGTTGCGTGAGATCATTAGCAAGGTGCAGCAGGATGCAGTAGTTTTAAAAGTGCTGGAAATTGTAGATTTTCACCTTTTATTCCGGAAACCATTTTACAGTTCCGCTTTATGTTCTTGCTTTTATGTACTTACTATTCTAATTTTGTTTTTATAATTTACTTCGTTTCATTTGCATTTGTGTCTTCCTGTTCCTTCATTGTTCCAAACAAGTGGACTGGAGATGTTTATGCAATTTCAGATTTTAAATTCAGAGATTTATTTCTCTCTTTTAACAATTCGGAACTATTAGAAACATCTTTTTTTGTTCACTACAGTGAATCAACATTAATCGAATCGCCAACTAAAAATAGGTCGACTCGGGTCACTTTGGACCCATACTGAAGGGTTAGATAACTAAATATCATCTAGTAACTCTTGTATCATTGAACCAGAAACATGGGTCAAAAGTGACCCAGCTCGGCTAGGCGAATGTCAAATTATAAAGGTAGAAATTGAAAATTCACGAAGTTAACGTTTTTATTTATCTCAGATATAGTAATCGTTGAAATAGAAGAAAATTTGGAAATATATTAAAATATGTATATTCTTTCTTAGGGAATAATGCTCACATTGGATTTTTATAAGCATACGAAAAATTAAATAAAGTTCGAGGATCGAGGTTTTAAAGCACAGAGGTTCCCAGTATATTATCTCTCGTGAGAATTGTCTGCGGGATCAGACGCTTCTTGGGGACGCTATATTTTCAGAGCACGCAGCACGTCTAATATACTAATACTTATGCTTGTAGGTGACATCGCACCTGTCAGTGACGGTCTACGTGGAGGACATAAACGATCATGCCCCGCAATTTGTCGATGCGCCTTATCACGTAACCGTGGACGAGCTTACGCCAGTCGGTGAGATATATTGCATACGACGAACTACATAGTCTTAGCTGCCGTTTCAGACATTTTATTTCGATGAAAAATTAATAGCGCTTAATATCAGTTAGTGGGAACTAACTGGTCATTTAAATCTCATAGTTTCTATTGTGGATGTTTTAATTGCTAAATGTGTAGAATATTTTTCAAGAGCTTAATACATTGTCTGTATTATTTACATTTCAGCAAAATAATATATTACGTCGTTCAATAAAAAACTACCTAAAGATGCATAAAAGCAACATGTTATACCAAATATTATTTTCATAGATAACTTTATAAATAATAAATAATTATGCCTGTGCAAATCACCTTATTTCACTAATCGATACTTAACGTCAAGTTAAGCGAAAGTGACAGTTTCATGGCCGATCACGCGATCGTAAAGTGTACGTTATCGAGAGCAGGTGAACCGAATTTCGTGTGTCTAATCGCAGGTGTCACGATATTTCGTGGGATCCACGCGATCGACGGGGACAAGCCGAACACGCCGAACAGCGACGTCCACTACGCGATAGTGAAAGGCAACGAGCAGGGCAAATTTTCACTAGAATTCGGCCACAGAACCGCTCAGGCGATCGCGAGTTCACGCTGGTCATCGCGGCCACGGTGAGTATACGTGACGCTGTGTTACACACGCACCGATCCTATTCATAAGTAAAAGCACAGGTGAAAGTCCGTGGTACGGTCGATATATGTTTGGCTCTAAGGAAAAACGCCGCACGTGACAATTTCAAAAAATTTGAATTTATGTATTTTTTATGATTAATAAAATTTTTTTAACGATTTCTCGTTATGACTACGTCATTGTCGGCTACGTGCCACGATGTGTTTCAGGACCGCGGCGTCCCCGCCAGGACCACCAACACCACCGTGAGAATAACGATCGTGGATAACGACGATCTCGATCCCATGTTCACGCGGGACGTGTACAAGGCGAAGATTCATGAATTTTATCCTATGCCGGTAAATATGAAGTTTGAGGAATATTGTGGAAGTCTAAGTCGTGAATGCAATTTCACATCTTTCCATAATTTTAAACTGAAAGACACACATGTTGCTTCGACTTTCCATAAGGTTATAGGCAACTATCATCGATGTCGTTTTACATCATTTCATAATCTGACACAGAATAATTCTAAAGGTAGATATTGCTGCGGTTAATGGGCAGGTGTTTAAAACAGAAATGTTGAAGTAGCACATACGACCAGTATTTCTGTAATTTACAGCGGAAAACTGTTGATTGATATTCTAATACAGTTTTCCTACAGATCGTATCGTTCGTTTATAAAATTTATAACTTCCCATGTCAAATGATTTTAATTTCAATTATTTATAGTTAATTTAGATTTGCATTAATAAATGATATTTATTAGCTAATCTTGTAGCTTTAGACGAACACATTTAATGCAATTAATCTTAACAAAAAGGGTAACTTAAATCTTTACACGTGTTTCACATTGAAGCGTAACTTGTGCGTACCTCCCACGAGACTCATATTGAGGTTAGTTGTGGATATTTTATGTTGTACGTATGTTTTACTTACGAGCAATCCCTGGGTCCATAACCTGTTGAATTGGGAGGTTGAATGACACAATATCTAATCTTGTAGCTGTAAAAAACACATTTAATGCACTTAATCTTAACATAAAAGTAACTTAAACTTTAAACGTGTTTCACATCGAAGCGTAACTTGGTGCGTAGTAGAGCAACCACCACAAGGGCGCATTGATCGCTTGGCGCGAAGTTCAAATCTAACAATCTTGAAGTTTATTTTTATATTTACTAAATAATACTATTTCTTTACTTACTAAATATTAGATTATTAGATTACACTTAACAGTAGATTGTATCTATTAATCTAATACACTGCGTGGCATAACTAGAAAACCAACCTAAAATTTATAATCCTTATATATGGTGGTTAAAATAAAAATGAACCACTTTTTTCTAGGGAATATAATCTATCCGTTTCTCAAGAAACATTATTTCTCAACACGATTTCAGACATGGCATATTTGGCTCGTTTTTATTTTAACCACGATCCATAAGAATAGAAACTTTTGAAGTGGTTTTATAGTTATAGTTATGCTACGCAGTATATTTCACAAAAAAACTAAACCGTATCCTCAAGTATCATAAAATGCCCAAGAAAAAAAATAACAAACGAATTTTCTTGGAATTATTATTAGTTCCCCGGATAATATGTAGTCCATAATACTTCACATAGTTCGTCTCGTGCATTATGGAACTCCATCTGAATACATTTATCCAGTCGTCGAGTCACGGAAGATTAACCGGAGGCGTCCGTATAAATTCGAAGTCGTCGAAGTAAGATAAATCGCTGGAAAATCGGCGTTTCGATGCGTTTCAACGCGGCTTCGTAGCGCGTCGAGGTGCTTTCTGACCATCGTTCAGTCGAATCGGGCGCGTAATCGGGCTGCATAAATCTCGAGGAAATGATTCGCGCGACGAGGATCGCCTCGAAAGTCGAACGGCCATTCACGTCGTGATAAATATCTCCTGCGAATAGTATCGCACGATCGTGTATCCCCCAACGATCGAAATTTATACCTCAAGGTTCTCCGCCTGAAGAAAGTATTAACCTCTGACATTCGCCGTGAGCGTACGGATGTGGCACAGCCTGGATCCCGAATGTCGCGCGTACCAGAAAACGACGCGATGTCGCGACGAACTACACCCCTAAGGCCTACCGTCCATTAACCCTCCGAGCACGGAAACATGGTTGACACAGAACAAGTTGACGTTCAAAAGAGTAAAAAGGAAACAAATCGAAAAAGTGGTAACTCTTTTGTCTGCTTATTTTCAGTCCAAATTTTTAAGATTCAAAGATTGCGCGCACAACTACACTTGGAGATTTTAATAACACAAACAGTTTACCCAATGGGGATGCGAAAGTAAAGAAACTTTGAAAGGGAGGCGATGAACTAGAAAAGCTTAGGAAACTATAGTGTAGATTGGTATCATTTCGTGAACACATGTTGCGTCCACAACAGTACTCAAAGGGTCGAATACCGAGTTCGGCGACATATTGGAATCGAGTAAATTCATTTATACAGACGGAATGAAAAATTGATACCGGCGGAGACGTCGGGAATCGAGGAAACGATGCGCCTCGATGGCCGCATAGAAAGTTCTCGGGAGTTCGTTTGTTCCGTAATATGCGACTACGTTCGGCGATCATCAACCGTCGCGCATTGACGCGGTCATTGCCGGCGGATATTCTCGATGCAAGTGGTCGAAGACCGGCTGTTTCGCGATTGCGTAATAGATTAATCTCCGCCGGTGGGTTAATTACGACTGGTTTTCCACGGTTTTTACCCTAATAATTTCCTGCACGAAATTACAAGGTGTTTTACGTGGTTTCGACATCGGACACTTGATTACCGTTGACATATTTTTTTTCAAGTGCCTACTTCACCAATTTTTTGTTATGATTATACAGGCGAATGGTAGTTGCTAGGATTACTGTCTCGGCAAACGTTTGATTATTCCAATAGGATTAATTAATGGGGACAAGGATTTTTTCTTGATATTTGCATGGTATTCATATATTCTTAGCAAGGCAACTGATAAAATTTCTAAAGCAACTCTGCATCAATAGGTTTCAGATTTTACGTTACAACACGAAATGTTTCATTTTTATATTTGCCAAATGACAGTTCTTAAGCACATATCGTCATTGTGACATTTTATCATTCTGAAGGACAAATACGATTTTGCGATATACAGAATATTGTCCCATATTGTCTACTAACGCAGCTAAAATTGTGATTGTTAATTAAACAGTAAAAATACAGTAAAGAAAAAGGTAAATTTTTCACTACGAAAACAATATTGAAGAGAAAAAAGCAAAATCGATGTAATGTAGATTTAAATTTAGGTTTGGTAGCTGTAAAAGTCGCCTCTAATTCGTCTCGTCACTTCCTCCTCATGTGCTCTGGTCTCGAGGAATTAAACTATATTCAGTAATATGTAGATCCATTCTTCGATCGATTGCTCAATTCTCAATCTTAATATTAAATGGCACATCTTCTATCCAACTCTCTATCCAACAGGAGTACCCGATCTTCACGCAGATCAACCTCACGACCCCGATCCAGGCCACAGACTGCGACCGGGACCTCAACGTCCCAGTTCGCTACGACATAATATCCGGCAATGAGCGCGGTTTCTTTCACCTGGACCCAAAAAACGGCACCTTGTTCATCAAGCGAGCGATCAACCTGGACGCTGAGAAGAATCTACCATCGAACACCTTCGCATTACAAATCCACGCGTCACAAGTGGACAATCCGTTAAAAACCGCGGGCGCCCGTGTCGAAGTAGAGGTGTTGGATCTGAACGACAATCTGCCCGAGTTCGAGGTGGACCTGTACAACATTAGTATTGTGGAGAACCTGCCTAACGGGTTCAGCGTGTTGCAAGTGATCGCGCGCGACAGAGATCAAGGGGAAAATGGTCAGTTCGATTACGAACTACAGGACCCATCCGGCGCCTTCTCCGTGGATCCAAAATCAGGTTGGCTGACGGTGAAGGATCAGTCGGTCCTGGATCGCGAAAAGAGGGACCACCTGCGGATGAAAGTTCTAGCTATCGAAAGGAGACCTAGCGTCGTCCTTGGAGATGATTCTCGAAGAGCCAATGGATCACTGGTGGATGTAGAGGTTACTTTACTAGACGCCAATGATAACAATCCTATTTTCGTACCTGGGAATCTGTATGAATTGGTCGCCAGGACCGACTATAAGGTGGGCACCGTGCTGGGCCAGGTCCACGCGGTGGATGAGGATCTAGGTCCCAACGGGATGGTCAAGTACAGACTCCAGAAACCGGGTAACTCGACGACTCGTACGCCACCGTTTCATGTGGACGAGATCACCGGTATGATTACTGTGGCAGAGAGTCCGATTCAGGAAGGAAGACACGCGATTTTCGTGGAGGCCGCGGATCAACCGGCGAATCCGAGCGAGAGACGATTCTCCCTGGCTGTGGTCACCGTTGATGTTTTCCGATCGAACGGTGAGATTTTCTGTAATCGAATTGTGCAACTGGTTGTCCTTCGATAAACCTATTCGTGACTCTGACATGCTTCGCTCTCATAAATGATATCTCTTTGAATGCACGGGGTCACGAGACTGTAGAAAACATATGTACGTAGTACCAAGAAACGCGATTTGTCGACCGTGGAAATCCATACTTTGTGTCTCTGGGGTATTCGTCAAATGTAGCACAGATATTTTCCATACAACGTCTGGAATTTTATCGCAGGACATCCCAGCAACAAGATCTGAAATATTCTTTCACCGACTTTCGATATGCTACCGAAGTAGAAGATTTTTTACTGCAATTGAAACCGTTCCAATTTTTTTTTACATATTGCCTATGAAATAAAGTATGTAGGAAGATATACATCATTTTTGTTACGTGAGATAGGGAATCGTGACGCATTTTCTTACAGTGTAGATTGCATGGCTTATTGATGATTCCATGATTATGTTTCCATGAAAATGTTGGTGTGGATTGTTTTAATACACTGGAAATTACGAACGGAAACGAATTTTCGCGTGTCACAGGTCCAGAGTCATTGGAACCAGACTTTATCGGGGCTCCTTATGAATTTTGGGTCGGTGCCAATGTTCCAGTCGGCACAAGCGTCGGTCAAATCCGCCTGAACGATGCAGTAAAGACAAACGATTTGATCTATGATCTCCTTCACAGCTACGAACAAGGGGGTAAGTTACTACAAAGGTAATTACTTAATTAACGCTTGTCGTGTTGTGATGCATTGGTTGACTTTAATCACTTATAAAGGTGCTGTTTGCTTTGCAGTTCATAGCAAATTTGTATTACACGTGTTCGTACAGCCAGAGAACATTGAAAATAAACGCTGTATCACACATAATATTGTTTTACACAGCTGTTATACATATTTATTTAATTCTTGTTGAACACAAACTGGCGTACGATACGCCCGAAAATACGAGATATGGAAGCAATATTGTATAAGAAATATACGTCGATCTATGATTTGCAGATGTGAGTTTTGTATTGATATGGATGGAAGCCGTACGGAATTTCTCCAACAAATTAGGAAATAAACTTTTCTATTTTTCTTTAAAAGGATTTTAGGATTCAAGGCTTTAGGATTAAACCTATGTTGATTTTTTCATAAACAATTTATTTTACCCTGTTACAGGGTAAAATGAAGGAGAGAGAATTATTTTAGATACTATTTCTTATTGACTCACCCTGTATAAATAAAAGGAGACAGACTATCCTCCTACTCTACTACCTCTCGACTAACCAGGCGCGATAGATCCATCAACTGTGCCTGGCCAAGCTGCAACAGGCCCCATAAGCTTGCCCCTCAAATAGGCAACCTTAATTTCCATGCATTAGCCGCGTGAAATCTCTTTCCCCTCATGCTAATACGTAACACATGCTGCATACATATACGAATTTCAGTTCCGTTCGCGGTGGAGGAGCGCTCCGGAACGATCACCGTCGTCGAGGAGATCGAGCGGTTCGACCGGTCTACGTACGACTTCGAGGCGGTCGTTACAGACGAGAGGCAGCTAATGCTAATCACCAACGTCTCGATCCATGTGGTCGATCCTAACGATGAGAGGGGTATCTTCACGAAGTAAGTGAAACGACCGGCTATGGTTTTTAGTCGTACATTTTAACTAGCATGAGGTGAAACGCTGGTGTAGATTGTTTCACCTTGTAATTGGGGATAGAAGATCGATGATGCTGACAGTTACTTGCTCTTGCCAGTTTACTCTCACTAGTGTAGTGGCATTACATTCTTTGTACATGGAATAATTGGAGTACTTCGAATAGGTTTACAAGGGGCGTTAGTCGAAAGGACACGAGTGAACGAAACCGCGCTGGAAGTAGTTTTATGTTTGCTTATCCTAACCTCGATGGCCGTTGATTGCAGGGGAACGACCACCGCTCCATTGGTCTTCCACGCCAAGGAGAACGTTCCTGGCACGTACATCGGGCAGGTGCTTCCGCAAAACAGCACCGCCGGCACGTCCACCAACGTGGGCACACGGTTTTTTATCGTCAATCAGCAAGACGTACCCGATATCTCGATCACGGAGGACGGGGCTCTGTACGCGCCGCAAGGCCTCGACCGCGAGACCAGACAGAATTATAGCATCACCGTAATTGCGGAAAGTCCCCGAGGGGTCGGAGTTTTCCAAGTAAGTTTCACCCCTTCCCACTGGGTAATTAACCGTTTCCCATACTATCATCGAGAACGCTTTATCGGCCGGGCGTCGCGACGAGACGAAGACCGGGGTGCGTCGAACTCGTTAAGCGAGACTCGAGGGAATTCCTTTACGGATTCGAGTCGCGGGAAAATTGATAGAGTCCGTTTGTCCTTTGAGACAAAGGGGCGTGGGGTGTTTGGGGACGTGACGGTGCTTCGGTTGTTTTTGCCAAGAGAGAAATATGAACGTAGTAGGTGTGAGCGTGGGGTGGAGATTTTTATTAGAGTATCCGAGGTTTAAAATGTTGGTAAACGGATATCTAATTAATTAATTTGTTGTAATTAATTGGGAGAAATATATAGAAGTTTTATGTGGAAAATTTCCATCTCTGTCTAAAAATCAACTTTCCAAGTGATTTCGTGAATATCAATGTTTTCTCCCTTGAAAGAAGTGTAATACATACTTTTTTATACGTATAATCTCTTTCATCACTATTACGTAATAAACAGGAATAATGCACATTTGTTTCTTTCGAAATTGTTTTTTTTTACGTATTTCATTCACTTCCATAAAGCTGTAAACAGTGGACATTTGGATATTAGTTCAGGGGAAAAATCTGTTGACAAGCCCGAGGTATAATGCGATTCGAGTTGCCGTTTATATTCAAATTTCTACCCTTGTGGTCAGTTCTTTTCGCTATAACATTTGGAAGATTTGTGGAACAGCCGAGATAAGAAACACGAATTCTCTCTTCAGTATTTTCGTGTACACAAGCGTAATATTGGAGTGTCAGCCTCATAAATTCGTTCCCAGTTTTCACTGTAGATTGTTCCATCTATCACGTTCGAGTTACAGACATCTATTTGAAGTTCTAGATGAAACTTGGATGTGCACAGTTTAATCTGCATTATTGAACTAGGAAATAATTTCGCACTACATTTTTTTATTTTAACGTCAGCAGTAGAATTTTCGATAATGACATTGCAATCTCTCTAAAAACATTTGAATTCCGTGGCATTAATTTATTTAAGAAACGTATTACCAGAAGTAATATATTTCGCAATAAATAAATATATCGAAACAAAACTGATGTGAATTTTGTTATGCATATTGATTTCCATAACAGAAAAGTTGGACTCTATGTATAAAAGGTACTGTTTAGAAAACCTTGACCTGGTTTTTCGTTTTTTTGACAATTTTATTTTGTTCGCTGGTATGTTTCAATGGTATCAATGTTGTAACGAATTCGTCCATATTTTTTATTTGACAATAGCTGTCCGAGATGCGCTCGTGTGTAACGTATTTGCAGACGCGAATATTTGTGAGTGAAACATTGTATGAATTGGAAAAATAGTGGGAGATATTTTATAATTTTTAATGTAAACACTAGAAAGCATAAAATGACAAACATATCGAAAGCATATCGGAAATCTTAAATAATTAAATATTTACCTGTTTAAGTATTGGGTAAATATTATTACAAGAGAATTTCTCATAAATTTCTTGTAATGTGTTCAGTTCTCCAGAAACGCAGCAGACTGGGTACAGAATAATTTTCTGAAAACTAAGCAAACTTTTTCAGGTGACTGTCATTGTTATCGACGAGAACGATCATCCGCCGATGTTCACGTCGTCCTTATACGAAGGACGAATTCTCGAAAACAGCCCCCCAGGGACGAAAGTCAACTTGTCAATTCCTATCGCAGCCACGGACCAAGACGAAGGTATCAATCAAAACTTCGTCTTCAGTCTTCACGGTCCAGGGAATGAGCTTTTCCGAATCCATCCCACGACTGGCTTAGTCTACTTCGACGGGATCGATGATCGTACTCTGGACAGAGAGGCGAAAGCGAACTACACCTTCAAAATCGTTGCTAAAGACAATGGTAAGCTCCTAAAATAGACCTTAAAAACAAACGACAGTTGCACACCTTTCAACATATCTAACTACTTTCTTTGCCCAGAAGTTGAACAGTTTTAAATGCCTACGGTTGTAACAGCAGAACAATAATTACATAGGATCATCTTGAAAATAATCTTCTGTTGCCCTTTACCACCGAACTTTTCGATCAGATCTTATAAATGACTGATCACAATCCACAAACTCTCCTGTTCATCACCTTATAAAAACAACTGAAGGAATCCTACCGATTTTACAAAAATAAGTACAACAGTACCTCTAACACGTTGAATCGACCATATTTATTCCCCGCCAACCCAACAAACCATATAATTCCGTCATGAGAGTGATGTACCTACAGCTACTCGTGTATTGTTTCTAGGAGGGCTCACGTCGGAATCGGAGCTGAGGGTATCAGTGACCGACGTGAACGACAATCCCCCGAGCTTCATCAGAATGATCGTCCTGCCGGATCAGGGCGTTCGCGTCTCGAACGAGCCAGATACCGAAACGCCTTTCGAGAGGAACGACGTGTTCGATATGAGCAGCGAGCCCGTCGCCGCCGGAACCGGGTCCCCCAGCAGCCGTCGTTCGCCCCTTCTTCTCGTGCCGGAAAACGCGACGATCGGCGCCCCGATAATACGCTTGCTAGCGGAGGACAAGGACGAGGGAGGGAACGCCGCGATAACGTACACTCTGGGGAACGAGACGACTTCCGGTGACGACGTACGATTGCGAAGGTTCGACACCACAAGCCGAAGATATTTCCACCTGGATCCAAGGTCGGCCGAGATATCGGTCGCCAGAGGACTTCCGGCTGAGAGGAGCATACGTTTGTTCGTTCTGGCGAAGGACAGCGCCGGCCTATCCGACAACATCACCATCAGGATCCATGTGGTGGACGTGAACGATCATCCACCAATCTTCGATAAGTCCTGGTACACGTTCGACGTGTCAGAAGGCACCTATGCGGGCTATGCGGTTGGCACGGTTCGTGCTGTTGACTCTGACTTCGGTACCAATTCCAATGTCAGCTACGAACTGGTCTCCGGCAGCGAGAACCTGGAAAATCCTCAGAACGATTCGAGGACATTTGATGTAGCACCCTACGAAGGGATCATCAGAGTTAGTGGGGTGCTGGATAGGGAGAGTATGAGCACCCATCGTCTCGTGGTCATAGCCAGAGACAATGGGTCCCCTCAGCTAAGTTCTACAGTGGAGATAGAAGTGAATGTCCTGGACGTAAACGACAACGCACCTATGTTCTATGGTTACGACGAGACCGAGAACGACGAGTTTGGGGACATTCTACCTGTCTACCACGCGTCCATCTTCGAGAACAGTCCTGCAGGCAGTCAAGTGATCAAGGTGCATGCCAATGACTCCGACTTCACTGGAAACGGGAACGGTTTGATTCTCTTCGATCTAAGCCATCAGGGCCAGCCTGAGAAGCAATACTTCGCCATAGATAGTAAAGAGGGTCTGATCACGACGATCGGGAACATAGACTACGAGACCCAAAAGATGCACCGTCTGCTGGTGACCGCTAGCGATCTAGGATCACCTGTGAGCCTGACGTCTACAGCAGTGGTGCTAGTCACAGTGTTGAACATGGATGATGACCAGGACGAGACTAGTAACGAGGTACCGAGGACCCCCGCGTTCCGACATCGGTACTACGAGGTGGAGATCGAGGAGAATGTTGATATCCCTGTTGAGGTAGCTCAGCTGGACACGATCGACGGCCATCAAGGTGATCATATAAGATACAGCATCGTCGCCGACGACTCGAACGCCAGGGAACACTTCTCGATAGATCCGAAGAACGGCTCGCTGTATCTGACGACGGACGCGGACAGAGAGGTGAACGATCGATACGAGGCCAAGGTCAGAGTAGACAGGGTGAAGATTGGTCGCGGGATACCCGTGATGATTTACCCAGTTGTCGGTGAAAGGCTGAATGGTCTGGCGCCTAACGAGGCCAGGGTCGTTGTCAGGGTGAAGGATGTTAACGACAATGCGCCCAGATTCAAGTCAAAGGGCCGTCCCATCCTCGCCGCGATACCGAGCACTGCCCATTATGGGTATGAGGTCGTCAAAGTGGAGGTACGTATGGCCACGCGTGTATTCAACGCGGGCCTGTGTCTCCGTTTTTGCTGTGTGCGTTTCAGGCCTCCAAGTAACCCCCAGGTTTTAATTCATTTCGGTTCTCGTGTCGCCTCTTACATTTTTTTCCTCCCCTTTCATCCATTCCGCTCAGAAGCTGTGGCTTTCTTACCCTTCCTTTTTTCTTCACCGTTTTTCTGCCGCCCCACCCCCCCGCTACCCCGCTCTCTTTTGCTCACCCCTATTTCGTGTGCTGTATGGATGAGTCTGTGTGTATATACTGGGCAATGGGCTCGCTTTCTGACTCGCTGGTTAGTAATTATCGTGCGTTTTAGAAACTACAGAGACGGTTCTGCGTGAACTTGTAGCTCGGTGAAAAGGGTGAATTACGGAGCGGAGTCGGGAAACCGACGTGGAAAGGGTTCGCGTCAAAGTGGTTTCACTATACAGGGAGGAAACTACTATTAGTAATAACACAGAGTGGTTTTGATATTCCAGTACTGAGCCACCGGCTGCTTATGTTGCTTTGCAGTAATATCAATTTAGGGGGCGTATATAGGGAAATGGAAACTTTATTCCCGCTTGGTGTTGAGAGGGAGAGAGAGACACAGAGAGACAGAGAGACAGACAGAAACGGTTCTGTGCTTTTTGTTTTGTGGAAATTTATCCTCTGTATTTTATCTGTTTTATTTTCCAGTGGAATGAAAATTCTTCCAGTATCAATTCCACTCGAATAAACAGTTAGGCATTTTTCGTTTCATTTATCCGATTGATATTTAGGCTTTTTTGTGGGATAGATTTGTTTTTAAGTTCGTATCTGTGGTTGAAGCAGTGGCATTCTAAGCTTTTGTGGACCGAGTATAATGGTGAAACGGCAGAGTCGATCAATACGTACCTTAAGGGTGCTGTGCAATTTATGGAAAAGTAGAGATGTTCAAACGAATTGCGCATTGATTCATCCGAACACATTTTCATTATACTTTCAGAGTAAGTGTGATTTAAAATTCAAATGATTCGGATTAGTATTAATCTGCTGTTTTGTGTTTCGCTCAATTCGGTATTTTCCTTTGTTTTTACCAAATTTTATCCAGTACTCGAAACATTCTACAGAAATATAGTATTGTATATTGGAACATTACAATTGCTATAAAGATTTCTTAAACCAAAATCATTTTATTGTATATTATTTTGAGTATTATTTCTTTTGCCAAATCTGAAATACAAAAATAACATAAAAATTCATTATTTGAAATTACTATTATTTCAAATAAATCGATAATATTTATATTTTCAAAAAACAGTAAAATTTGCCCGGGTCTGGTTGGTGGACTTGTATCGTTTTGGAATTCATGACTTCAATTCTCCCCACTTCTGGACCAAGGTAAACAAATAATGCAATTAATGATCCGCAGGCGGACGATCCAGACGAGGGAGCGAACGCCGAGATCCGGTACCAGATTCTTGGCCGGGAAGACGCCCCACGGTTTGCCATTGACCCACTGAGCGGTCAAGTACGGTCCGTGGCGAGTTTTGGCCGTGACGCTGGACGCGTTTTCGGCTTCGACGTCAAGGCCACCGATAGACGGGGCGCCGAGAACGGACGCAGTAGCATTGCGAATGTCTTTGTAAGTCCCCCGATCCGTTCTGTTTCGTCAGACAATTTTAATTATACTTCTTTTTGGGGCTTTGTTTCCGAGTTATTAACTGTTGGAGTATTAACCACGTTTTTATTAACACCCTATATGTAGTTAACGGTATGATACCGAATCTATACTACCGATTCCAACTCCAAATTATCGCAAATTATGATATCGGAAACATAATCGATAGGTACCTGTTTGATACTTGTATGAAAGTATCGGTAGCCGTTTGATAATACACAAATGTACCGATACCCATTTGATACCTTTCGAAATTACAGATCAACGGTGTTAGTTCAAACTGTCGTTAGACTCGAGATCGAGTCACAGCTAATTTCCCCCAGCCTTATCCCTTCACACGTTCCGTAAGATGGAAGTTCCGTCCACAGTCCGCTTTGTTCACTCCCCCACACCCCTCCATTACTCGACGCTGTTTGCCCAAAGGTGTACGTGCTGGATGACCAGAAACAGGTCGTGATGGTCGTTGGACGGAGACCGATGGACCTGGAACCGCAGCTCGAGAACATCACCGCGTGAGTATAATGGAGCACGAGTTAAAATAGTTTCTAGGTACGGTTGTGATTGTTTCTGGTTACTGAACGGGGTTGAATGCGCGGTATTATGGGAAATCTGTGGATTCGTTCGAGTACGATTTATTCTATTCAAGCATTTAGGACATGTACGTATGTGCATAGTTAACATACATAACTTAGAATTCAGAAAAATATAAAACTTATTCGAGGCTTGAATTAAGTATTCAAATTTAATACTGTAATATTTTCTAAAAATAATCAGTACTATTAACTTCATTTAGGGTACTGCAAAATGTGACTGGTTTGGACGTTCGTATCAGAAAGTTGGAGCCACACATTGAAAAGAATTTGATTGACACCATGTCGTAAGTGAAGTATACTTTATTTAAGTTAGAAAGCAAAATAGAGTTTCACGATGTGACGGATATCCTTTGCTTTCAGCACGGATGTCTACCTTTACGCCATCGATCCTCATTTAAATGTCATGATAGATATGGATACCTTGCACAAGTAAGTAGCGAAATGTTCTTATCTGCCGTCCCGCTTTTCCTAATTTCCTAATTCTTCTTAACTGTAGGGGAAAGGTGTTTAAAACGATCTCTTTAAGGCGTAATTTAAATAAAAAATAATCTAAAACTAATTTCGTCCATCTTTATTTAATGTGCGCGAAAATGTGCCTTTTCAGCGTCTTTCACACAAAGAAAAAGGAGATCAAACGTGAGTTGAACGAGTTCGGTGTCCTGGAGATCGCCGGAAATTCCCCGCGTCGTGGTAATCAACGTTACCTGTTGTCCACCCTCGAAGTGGGCGTCGTGGTGCTCGGATGCGTCATCTTTGTCGGCGCTCTCGTCACTGCCCTCTGCGTTACTTGTGTTCGCCGAAATAAACGGTACGAGATGCACGATTTTCGCATGATCCAGCCTTCGTCTGACTAATGTTTAATACGTTGATCGTCAAACTGGATGCATAAAAATTCTGTTGAAATCAGAAGCTCTTTTTAACTCTAATTCGTCCCTTTTGTCAACTTGACTGTGTCTGCGCGTACGTGTGGCTCACCGCTGAGCTGATTGGAATTCATTTAACTACTAATATCTCGGAAATGGAGCTTCAGATTACAAAACAGTAAAGAACTTTTCGATTTGTATTTGCATAAGGAATCTGTATACTGCGGATATTCCCATATTTTTCGTACACCCTGTATACTCCAGTAGAATTTCACTCAGCATTCACTACTCCAATTACACGATCAAATGATACATATTACGATTAAAAAACTCAAGGTGACCATCGTATAGCAAAATTTAGGTAATTATTACAGTATATGCTCTTCATAATACTATAAAACTGTTGTTTTAAACATTTTTTCATATAACAAATAGTTTACAAGTCAGGTATCACCCTGTATATCACCTGGAAAAGATTTTTCCGAAAAATCCATTCGATCGGGGTTGGGTGTCTGGTTCGATACCCAACGTTCCCGACTCACCAAACGTCCGTTCTGAATTCTGGATTCCTGAATTTTCGTCCATCAGTCGGAAACGTCGGCAGAAAGCAATGTTCTCGACGACCAGCCCGATTGGTTTCGCATTGGCGGATCCGTCCTCGTCGTTGCAGAAGCCGTCGCTCTTCCCGACCTTCGTCGACGGCCTTCACTACGACCCGGAGCCGTTCTGCACCGACATGCCCAGACGACAGAGCATCTGCGAGCACGGAGCCAACTGTGCTCGCTTCCACACGTAAGTCCAATAATCGACGGCGTGTCTGTTTCGTTAGGGCACCCCCGACTCGTGCTTATAGGCTGGTTCATAAGAGCGTTAGATCGATATCCGGAAAAGTAATTCATATTTTTCAAACATTCAAAAACAGGCTCATTGTAGGTCTAAAACTCGGTGCGTCATTATAGAATGACTCCATCAATAATTTTAATATCGTCACAACGGCACTTTTTTCTGTGTCTTGAGATTAGTAGCTCTACCGACTAGAAAGGTGACTTCACAAAACGAATTATCACACTAATTGTGAAGTTACATTTTTTTCGTACAATACTTTAACTTTGGAGGAAACGAATTTCTAACTCGTGTGTCTGACAAATATTGCTTAATTCTACTTCTATTCAAGTAATTTTAATTTGACTTTATATCAATAACAATTTGATATTAATTAATAATCGAAAAACAATTTGATCGATAAAAAACTGGTACTAACGTCACGGGGAGTCCTAAAGAGAGGGTTCCTCGAACGCACACTATTTTATACACATTTATCCTAAAAAAATTGTTTTTGGGAAATAATTTTGTATTTATATGTATATTTATAAAATAGGATGATATTATAGTTAAGATAAAATTCTCTAACTTGTCGAGGAACTCTCTCCCACCTTGAGAGTTCTAGTGTTAAAAAGCGATAACTGTTCGAAGGCTCTCATAACTGCTCGAGGTTCAAATAGAGCTTGAAATTCTAAAGCCACTGATATTTGTTTCAACCGCATATGGTCATTAGTTTATGAAATATTTACTATCCAGTGCCGAGGCGCCTTCGAACACTCATCGAGGATATTCTGCAAAGCGTGTCTGGCTACGTACGGCCTTTTTCACTGTGCCAGTCTACGTGTTCAAACCCGGGCCGATCGATTCTCCATAAAGACCGATAAATTCCACGTGAATTCGTGGCTATCCCAGGCCTCCGCCCCGGTCCAATGAATAATCGCAACGAGAGAAGGGGATGGGTCAATCGCGGATTCTTCCCCAACCATTTTCCCCCGTGGAAATATCAGCGAGCGCAAACTACGGGCGCGGAAAGTAGCCGCGGCAGCCGAGGAATTAAATAAAACCGCGACAAGTGGGGAATGCATTTATTATGAAAGCATTCCCCTCACACCCTCCCCCCCTTCCCAACCGCCCAGTGGAGGCCGCGAAGGTCGGCTGTGGCGGGCAATATACCGGGTATATTGTATCAGGGAATTTCCATATCTTTCGCGGATCTGTCGATGCTAGAGAATCGGGGGTGGTGGTTGCAGGATGGGCGGCGGTAGTAGTAAGCACGGAGGGAGGACGAGAGGGACCCCGAAAGGCCTCGAGGCATCCGCGACGTCCTTGCATTCCAGCGGTCAGGATTCTGGGATCGTGGCGCGCGCCTCCTGCCACTGCAGTCACTCGTCGAGCCCCTCCAGCGGCGAGAGCAGCAAGTAAGTCGAATTACTTACGAAGGGGATGGGGGGGAGGAGGTGGGAATCGAGCTATTCGTGCTATCTAAATTGAAAAAAAGTGTTTCGGGTGCCAGATCGATCGACCATTCTTAACCGCGGCACGGCATCACGCCGGGTGACGCGTGTGTGTATGTGTGTGTGATCTTGGGTGGACGGACGGAGAATTTTAACCAGGGCTTGAGGATCCACCCCGGAGCACAGTGGTTCAGTATCCGAAAATCCGGGCGAGAATCCCTGAAATACGAAATTTCTTTTAAAGAATCCTTACGTCGTCTATGTATTGAACTCAGACAGTTGGGGAATAAAAGACACCTGTTTGAAGAGGTTTATGCCTACTTATATAAATTACCATAAATTACATTAGAGGTCCAACCTAGGCGACCGTTCAAATTCGGCAACCTTTCCCTATGTCTTTCTGTTTCTACGCTTGCTAAAACTGCCGATGGATTCTGGACACCAATAGCTAATAACACCAAATGTAACAGTTTCTTGAAAAACAAATAACGACTTACTCGTTGGCCCAGCCAATATTTAAGACAATTTAATTCTAGTTGAATGCACCCTCCTTTCTTCTTCACAGTGGCTACGAAGACTCTCTGAAGTCTTTGCAGCGCCGCGAGAGGGGAAACGACGTGTCACGTGGAAGTCACGACACCTCCAGCATCGTCGGAAGACGCGCGAATCAGGCCAACACTCGGAGACGACAACGTTTCAACTCGTTATCGAACGGGGAATCCGTTTATTCTCATGAGATGACGTTGCAGAGGGAGCAACGTTGTTGTGCCGGGACCGAGAAACGCCGGAAGAACGAGGGGCACACGCGCGAGCATCGCCGCGCGCATTCCGAGGCGGAAAACAATATCACCGAAACAGTGATACAAGAGCATCCCGGAACCGAGATCACGCTGTCGAGCTCGCTGCAGAACAGTTCGAGCATTCACGGTGAGCCGCTTGAATGAATTTTGAATGAATTTTTAAATTTGGAATTTTCGAATTTGGATTTGGAATTTCCCATTATACAATTTGGAATTTTACTATCGGAGGATGTGCCTCCAAAGGGGAGCAAGATAATAGTCTTCCTGGCCATGAGTTTTCTTATTGTCCATAGCAATTCCTCGTGCAGGCTACCTGTACTTCGCCCGCTCCCTCAGAAGGGATGTCTCTTCTTGCACGATCTTTCCAGTGTAACGAGCGATACGATTAATTTCCTTCAATCATCCATGTTGCGCTGCGAGTATGGTTTTTCAGCACTGCTGGTTTTGTTCCTGCTTTGATGAATGACGTTCATCGCTTGCTGCATGTATGATGATTCAAAAGTGAGTTGACGAATTAAGGAGACGCGATGTGGGATAGTCAATTACACGACGAACTTTCTTCTTTAAAAAGAATTTCTGAGGGCACAGAAATGTTTGATATTTAAATGAAGAAAAGAGATCGTTCTCCGCTCTACAATAAACGATGTAATTATCAGAGTCACCTGGATAAATTGACCATTTTATAATTTTGCCTGCTTTCTTTTTATAATTACATAAGCTAAATTTAATATGAGTATATATTTTTAGTGGACAATTGTTAATTACAAATTCACTGTAAACACCTTGACATTGTGATTTGATTTTTCGCAAACAAAAAAAAACGTATTTTGTGTTCTGTGGCTCTAATAATTTGATCACTTATTGTAACTACTGATATCACCTTAGAAATATCACGCAGATGATAAGAGAGAAGGATTTCGTACGACTGATAAGAGTTATAGGGTTACGTTTATAAAAGTTACCAATAACGTTGTGTTAAGATAATGGAAAAACGAAGCGCCAACCAGGAGCAACGCGTTCTCAAGTCGCGGGGTTACTTCCAGTTTCACTCGAATATTTGTTTTTCACGCAGAATGTGTCATCTCATTACCAAAGTACTCGTCATTATTTCGAATGCCTTATTTTCATTCTTGTAAATACGCGAGAGGATTTATTGGTACTTTGAGGATCGTTATTATTTTTTCTATGGTACAGACAATCATTTATCGTGTAGAAATGTACTACCGAACATGTAAATGCTTGTGTACAATAGGGTGTACATTTTGCGTTGAACGTGTATGAATATTGTGTATTCGAACACTGCTGTCATAGTACTCCTTTTATATTTTTATGTACCTAATTCTAGGTTTATTAGGTGTTAAACAAGATTATTTCCATCGACAAACTTTGTAACTGGAATTTTCAATCGTCAACTGTGATCTATGGAGAAAATTGTATAAAGTTATATGCGGTTTTAAGTATTTAATTGATACAGGGAATTTAGACAATTTTTGTAAATAATAATGATTGAGTTATTTTTTAGAGAAAAGAGTGGATGCAGAATTTCATTCAATAATTTATTGTTATCTTAAATTGATCTTGCTTCAAGATACGAGTAGGATAAATTGAATTTAATTGAACATAGTTTACTCATAGAAATCGTATGAAGAAGAAAATACGTTTTTTTTAAAGAAAGTATTTTTTTTTAAATTTATTAATTTACATATTATTGATTGTTTAATTATTTTCCAGTGTTTCAAGTTTGTCCATGAAAAACAAGTACTTGGTTTAAATTTAGCTGCACTTGAACCTTGTGAATACACGAATTTTCTAACGTTCGCTACTACTTTCTATGAATATGTTTAGTATATTTAAACTCACTGTAAGAAAGTGTAACATATGTATGTAATAATGCATAATTTATATCACGGACCGGACAGGTCCGTCAAAAAGTATCTGTGTTAATAAATCGTTAATAAATGCAATTGATTGTAAGATGGCGTCTCCGATCGTCGTCGTTTTCAATGCCATTGTCACCAGCTCCAAAGGACTCGGTCAGATCCTCTGCCCTAGAACGTGGCTCAATCTTGGTCCATGTTGTAATAGATTCAAGGCCCGTCGATCGACGATATGTATATCGGTGATGGGACCAGGAATCTCCTCGCACGATTCATTTGATCGTAATTAAAACACCCACGCTGATTTGATCAGCTGGCAGAGAGATTCCTGAGACGCCGTAGCACCAATGGGAATTGCGATCTGTCACGGCCGGAGGTCACCTTTCGTATCAAGGACACGGGACATGTTGATGAGGTATTCCATTCGATCGAGTTGTCCGAAACAATGAGGTAGTAATACACCCTGTATAGATGTATCGAAGCAAGTAAATAGCTAGCAAGTAATAGACAAGGCAGAAAGGTTTTCAGCCCCTGATAACATTATCCAATCGCGTAGTCTTGGATACAATTAATTTCTCGGTGACGTTCAACAAGTTCGCCCTTTGTATGGCGACGCAGGGAAACTACGCGAAAATTCGGTCATATCATTGAACGTGATTTTCCCATCGGCCGTGTTACGTACCGCGGCGGAAGAACTCGGCCGAAGAAGGAAAGGGTCGTGAAGAATGGGCCACAAGACGGGAAGCAGCGAGAAAACTAGTGTTACGGGGGTCGTTATGTGCAATGTGTGCTAATTCTTCGGAAGGCCCTCATAAGAGGCCGAATAAATCATCGGTAAATGGGTTAGGTTGTAATTGTTCCACCCACATATCGGTGTCGGCGTTGTCGGAAGGTGTCAGGGACGCTCCACGCTACGGCTGTGACTACGATCGTGTAAAACACATGTGCGCCGGCGATCTCTATTAGACCTGGCGGTAATTTTCATAAACATCGCGATTTCCATTTACGGTTGGCCGAGTTTTTGCGAAATGCACAGACCGCGTTTCGGATGCTCGCCATTAATTGGAAACAGAGCGGTAACTCCGTAACACCAACACGGTCGCGGGGATGATAATAAAATGAGGACAACAATCATAATTTATTGTCCCGTAGCTTGCAGTAGTTTTAGGTCTTTGTGAATTACTTAAGAAAATGACATTGTGCATAAAAATCAGAAGTATGATGATAATCAATTGATCTTAGTTTCAATTTGTACGAATTTTGATTGATTTTTAATAGTCAGATTAGGTCACTTTCCATAGGATACGGAAATATATTGTAACTTATAATTAAGTTGCAGTTTTATAGAGGTTTATGAGCTAATTTAGAGAAATTGAAATGAAAGAAAGATTTATTTATTGTCTTAACGGCTGTGTGAGATTCCAAATAACGTAGAAACTATATTAAACGTTAATAAACCAATAACATAACAATGTATAGAGAATTTTAGATAATAATCGTGCATATTAATTTTAGAATAAAAAATATAGAAAAAGCGAGAATTCCGGAGATACTTATTGATATCTGTACATGTTTGTGTATTTTACTCAAACAGAAAGAACCCATTTCAAAAAATTCAACGCCTTATGACACGATCTAACATCTCTTAACTGAAGTATTCGGGCGAAAATGTAATTTAAAATTTGACAAGCGTAAAATCTCCACGTTACTGGAGTACTGTTTCTTGTGAGTCATCTTGAGTGTTCTCTGAACATCCTATAGGAACTAAGAGGAAAGAGCAAAAACACCAAGTGAAAAGTCGTGCGGAAAAGACAGGACTCGCCAGGACGGGGATCGTGGTGCAACAGATCGTAAATCATTTGCGAAGGACAAGGGGTCGATAGCTCGAAGGTGATTTTCGAGGCGAATATCACTATTCGGGCTAGTAATTGCGTAGAAATTCGATGGGAGGTGTGATTTATCGAGGGCTGCACGACGAAAGAGTGAATGGGAACACCGTAAGCATTTGGGGAACTTCTTGACTCGATGTTAAAGAGGAGTTCTGGGGGGTTATAAATTCGCCCGGTTCCGTTTAGACTTTGATGTATGAGTGCAAGCAACTGCGAACGTAAAATAAATAGCGCGTCTATTTCCGTCGAAGTTTCGGGGGACGACGGTGTTCCACGGCTACCGATCGATACACGGAAATACTTAAATCGTATTATGATTCGAAGCTGTCAAATTAAATAAATAGTCCCTTGAATTTAATTCACTTAAACGCTTTGACAGTTGTTTTCATATTATAATAGCAACTGACGTGAGTAACCGAACCAAAACATGGGAGCGTGCATTAAACCGATCGAGTTTAAATGTGTGTCCGAAACAGAAATTGAAGAGCTCATTATTCATTGGTGCAACTGTAAATCATTTGAGCGTTGTCTACCAATACACGATATCTTCAATTAACCAGCGTGTAAAGTCACGCGATTGGGCGTAACTGAAGATTAACATCGCGCGTTGCCTGATAATGATCAATATCTTGCTACCACTGTATCGGCCTGAGTACATCATTACAGGTCCTGGGACAACAATCCCGGGCCTCGAAACCATCGAACCTGTGCCTCGGTCGTGTTTGCTGGAATCGACGTGGCCAGTTACGTTTGACCATGATGGACACTTTGTGGCTTCGATCGCTTTGCCACGGGCTACCAGGATATCCCTTCCGATACAAACGCTTTCTAAAGACACCTTGTAGTGTTAGTTGCTTATGGACGACGTTTAGAAAAAATAATCGTTTAAACGACATAGGAAGTAAATTTTGTGTTTTATTAGAAATATTATTTAGGGGGATTAATCGTTGTCGGAAGTAGGAGACCAGTGGCACCCCTGTACATACCATATACCCACCTAACATGAGCATCGTAAATAAAAAAAGTGAATGTCTATGAACTTCGATACATTTTTGCATTAATTCCTCTATCGTAGTTATTTTATTACTTAAATCTACTAGGGATGACAGCGGAAAATTTGTCGCCCATCGAAGACATCAAACGTCTAGACGGAAGCGTGTCCGATCACGGGGATTCGATTTCCTTCGCCAGATATTTTTCGTGAGAGGAGCTTCGCTCTGCTTGAACGGTTTTCGGAAAGAATCGAATTATCGGACAGTTAATAAGATCCCAGGCGTGGGGGCGGGAGGTGTCGGCCGGTTTTCAAAAGGAGAACGATTAACGTGCGCGGCCTTGGCCTCGAAAGAATCTAGGATACCTTAGGATTCCTAGAGACTGA